CGTTATTTTTTTTCTTTATGATTATCATTGTTATTGCTATGTTTATTGCTTCTGTTACTATTACTATGATTATGATTATTATTGATGTTGTTATCATCATTACTTTTCTTGCTATTACTTTTGTTATTTTTACTATCATTACCATTATCTTTGGTTTTATCATTATCATTATTACTATTATTGCTGTTGTTTTTATTGCCATTATTTGTGTAATTATTATCATTATCATTGGTATTATCTTTATTTTTATTGCCATTATTTTTCTTATTGTCATTATCATTACCATCATCATTACTATTGCTATTATTACTATTATTCTCACTCTTGTTACGACTACCATTTTCATCGTTATCACCATGATTATCCTTCGCTGTCTTTATGCTTTCAGAGTAAATTATTAAGAATGGAATTGACCCAAACAACCATCTATCCTGATCGACCTCGAGGTTATTTAACCCTCGTTGGCAACTGACACACTTTTTAGGGCAAGCTCGTCTTCCTTTCTCATTTCGGTTGTCTGAATTCACACACAAAGTTCACACCGTTAGTTGAATTCTAGATTCATTAAAATGTGTAATAGACGAAAGCGATACATATGTTTATATACAGTTGTTGTATCTTTATTATACACACACACACACACATATATAATATATATATATATATATATATATATATATATATATATATATATATATATATATATATATATATATATATATATATATATATATATATATATATATATATATGTATGTATGTATATGTATAGAGAGGCACACACACACACACTTATATAAAATATATATATATATATATATATATATATATATATATATTATAATATATATATATAGATAGTGTGTGTGTGTGTGTGTGTGTGTGTGTGTGTGTGTGTGTGTGTGTGTGTGTGTACAGTTGCGGAATTATATTTCAGTACACTTGCTGGGTCCAACTTTTGTACATCTGACAACTAATCGAAAGTAAACAGCGTAAATAGCATTTTTTGAATGAGGCTAAAACCCTATGTAGTTTGTAACAAAGAATGTGATTGGTCGAATACAAATAACCGATTAGTACATTAAAGAATATTTTTAGAAAGTGAGTGAGCCATACGATCTTTCGTTTTCTTCAAATAAGTGATAACAAAACATATAATATTAATTATAGTTGACTTTTTATTGGGATATCCTTCACATGCCATAACCTGGAATTGTTTGTTCATCGAAATGGCAACACGTGTGGTGGAGAGGCGGTACTTCCCCCTTCTTTCAACTTAAGAAATATCAATTACAGCTGCATACTTCTTGAAAAGTGACCACGTTTTATGCTTTAGACATGTGCCTCCAGCGTCTATGGAAATACTATGTCATATTTGGTGATAAGATCCGAAAGAGTATGTATAATCAGTTGTTATTAAGCCATAAACCTTGGCGTTTCTTCGAACAGCTGAGCGAGAAAATACACGTTTGCTTGTTTCAACTCAAGCAACTACTAGCCAGGTGGTTTCAAGGAGGGTGAATAGCCAAACCAAGAACCGACTCCCAATACATGTGCTGCTTATGATTTGTTCAGTATAATGAAAGGGGAATTACTCGCTTTGAACTGTTCTTTATCATATACCCATTTTTTTTCTATTTGTCAATGCAGTGTAATATATACATTTTCCTAGAAATGATAATTATTATAATATCATGATAATGTAGATTATGATGTTGACAATATCAAGGATGATAATTATGATACTGATAATGACGATGGCACAATAAAAAAAAAAAGGTAGTATACATAAGAAAGATAAAACCAATGACAACAAAAATATTGACCTTATAGACCAACTAAAACGGTGAACGTGATGACAGCAGTAAACTGAAATATATTTTGAAGCTACCCAAAATAATTGGTTACTATCATCTAACTGAAATTTTGGTTACGGAGAAGAAAAGGATAACTGATAATGTGGTTTTGGCGGGAAACCGTTTTCTTCACCGTGCGGCCTGGTACAGGAGCTGCAGGGCTTCAAGAATATTTGCTGCATTGGTGAAGGATGGCATTTATTATGGCTGCCGCCTCCCATCATTTCTACCAGATATAAGTTGGAATTGATGATCTTCATAATATACCTGACTAAAATTTGTGCCAGCAGCCGCGGTTATACTGCGAGGTAATTTGGAAGAAAATTGGTTAAAAATAGTTATATTTATTGATTAATGATTTCTTAACAGCTTGTACTGATAAAGGGTGAAATTTTTTTTTTTTTTTTTTAGTATACATGGGAATAAGAGTTAATTTAAGTTGAAGCTATTAAAATAAAGTAATGAACCAGGATTAGATACCCTGTTAGACTATATAAATTATGAAATTACCTGGGTATTAAAAGGTTATTGTCTTGACACTCAAAGGATTTGGCGGTAATTTAGTCTATTTAGAGGAACTGTGCACGAAAAATCTTACTTTATCTTGTAGAAACCAGTTGTATACTGTCATTATTAGATACGTTTGCACACCGTCATTATTAGATAACTTTAACAACATATAAAGTTGTTGGAATAGTTTGGCTAATATTAGATCAAGGTGCAGCTTATGGTAAAGGAAGAGATGGGTTACAATATAATAAATATAAACGGAACAATAAATGAATATTTGTTGTTGAAGGTGGATTTAAAAGTACGAGGATTTTTGATAAGATCTTTTGACTTTAGCTCTTGGTTATGTACACATTGGCCGTCGCTCTCGTTAATCAAAGCGAGATAAGTCCTAACATAGTAGGTGTACTGGAAAGTGTATTCAAGATGGAAAGTGTACCTAGAAGTTCAAGATGGAGTTTGAATAGTTAAGCATCATACTTACGTTGAGAAGTTCGGTGTGCAAACCGATGCGTAAATATTACCAACTTTTTTCACAAATTTATTTCACTTTGCGATACACATATTTGTTGATAAGTAATAGTGTCCTATACGTCATATTTCATGTTCGAATTCTTTATTATTATTTGATTTTCACAACTGACAGGCAAATTATCTATGAAACGGCGAGGTGAACACGTCACAGCTCACACCACATGAGCTGTGACGTGAGGGTTGATCTTCGTACATGATGTAGAGGGAACACAAATATATGGAAATGGCCATTCTCAGAAACCATCCTATTTGCGCAGGATAAGTTGTTTAACTAAAGTGTTAAACAACTTCAGCTCGTTCTCACACAGCACATCTTTAGTTTTATATTTCATGTACACTTTGAACCCCTTCTCGCGCAAAATCCCATAGCATGTAGTTGATAACCCTCTCTCTCTCTCTCTCTCTCTCTCTATCTCTTTCTCTCTCTCTCTCTCTCTCTCTCTCTCTCTCTCTCTCTCTCTCTCTCTCTCTCTCTCTCTCTCTATCTCTATATATATATATATATATATATATATATATATATATATATATATATATATATATATATATATATATGTATATATGTATATTTAAAATTTCTTTTCTTAGAGGATGGGGGCTTCAGTGAATCGACATTGGGGATGCTTGATAAATTTGGAGATAGTTTTATTAAAGTTTTATTTTTTAAAGAAATATGGTAATAACTTTATTAAAAGACAAATATCAGAACAACGTATTGTTATTCTAATCCCTGAGACAGAGGTGACGTGTTCGTACAACGTCTCGATTTCCTCCTTAACACTTCCCTTTCCTTCTTGGTAAAATATATTTTGAAATTGGGAAGTCCTTTCCCTTGCCGTTTCTCAAACATTGACAATATTCGTCCAAATATTTTTCATCGGGTTTGAGTCACATGCCTTGCCAGGCATACACACACACACACACACACACACACACAACACACACACACACACACACACACACACACACACACACACACACACACACACACACATATATATATATATATATATATATATATATATATATATATATATATATATATATATATATATCCGCATTATACTCAGAAAAAAATGGCTGAGTTGCCAACTAAGGATAAATATCCTAGGACGGAACCGATTATAAGACTAGAACATATATTATAACTTCGTCCCAGTTTTGTTATGGCTTCCTTAGTATGTACGTGGCCGTGTTAGGTCTTCGCTCTAAAGATAACGTAATATTGATAAGATAGAGATAATGGTACAGAAAAAATGGGAAGTGAGTAGAGGCAAATCAACAAATAGGTGAAGAGATAAGTTCACTTTATGTATATATATGGGTGGGTGCTTCATGAGCAGGGTGGTTTGAAGCGATGGTGTGGTAGCCTAGATAGTATAAAGTGCTTGCATGCCTTCCCGCTTGCAGCTGCCACCGCTGGCTAGCTTTGTGTGAAAAAGGGAGCAGCGCTGCATAAGTTTCCCATGCCAGTGCATAGCCTCTTCTTCATCGAGACTTCTGCAGTGCCTCTTAGTGGCCACCTATGGAGGCCCCAAAGGTACAGGGTCATGGCCCACCGACGTGTGGACACGCCCTTGGCCCCTGTACTAACTCCTGCCACTAAGCCCTCTGGGGTTAATGGGAGGCGGGCCTTGCCAGTCTCCCCCCCAGAGATAACCCAACGTCGCGGATAATTGGAAATGCAGGGGGGAGGGGAAATGCCCCTCCTACCCAGCGAGAGAGGCGGGCTGCGGGCCCCGCTGGCAGGGTAGCTGCTGGGGTGCAGGATGGGAACGGGAGCTCCTCGTCCCACTTGCGTTCTGACAGCCGCCAACCCGATATGAAGCTTGTGGGGCAAAGCCCTAGGGAACCCTACAGGTGGAGGATGGGTCCCGCAGCCTGCCACCTTTTATGTGGGGCAGCATTGGCTAGGGTGGCAGAGGTGGCGTCCACCGAAGTGACTGCCTGAGGTTAACCTCAGGCGGGAAGTCAGGGTAGGGGGGTTGGAACATCCGGTCCTTGCGTGAGGATGATCGTTTGCCCCTACTATCGAAGGAACTAGGGAGGCTTAGAGTTGGGGTGGCTGCTCTCTCGGAGGTGAGAAGACCCGACAGCGGCATGATCAGTGAAGGTGGCTACAACTATTACTGGTCAGGCCGCAGAGATGGTCACCATCTTCAGGGAGTAACCATATCTTTCTCCAGTAGGCTCCAGCCCTCGGTGGTAGAGGTCACTCCAGTCGATGAGCATATAATGGTAATGAGACTGAAGCTGTCATTTGGCTTCATGTCTCTTATTGCTGTGTATGCTCCTACCGATGTTTGTAAACTCAATGTGAAAGAGATGTTCTACGCCAAACTTGCATCTGTGACAGACAGTTGTTCCCGGCGAGATATTCGTATCGTTCTGGGTGACTTCAATGCGGTAACTGGCTGTGATGAAGATGGCTATGAGATCTCTGTCGGTCCTCATGTTTCGGGAGTTGATACTGGCAGCGAGAATTCCCTCCTTTTCCGGGATTTTGCAAGGTCCCAGAAATTGAGGATTTCTGGCTCCTGGTATCAGCCCCCAGACCCACATCGTTGGACATGGTACAGCAATGCGGGTAATGCAGCCAAGGAGATCGACCACACTCTTATTAGCGCTCGTTGGAGNTCTCTCTCCTCTCTCTCTCTCTCCTCTTCTCTCTACTCTTCTCTCCTCCACTCTCTCCTCTCTCTCTTTCTCCTTCTCTCTCTCTCTCTCTCTCTCTCTCTCTCTCTCTCTCTCTCTCTACTCTCTCCTCTCTCTCTCTCTCTCTCTCTCTCTCTCTCTATCTCTCTCTCTCTCCTCTCTCTCTCTCTCTCTCTCTTCTCTTTCTCTTTCTCTCTCTCTCTCTCTCTCTCTCTCTCTCTCTCTCTCTCTCTCTCTCTCTCTCTCTCTCTCTCTCTCTCTCTCTCTCTCTCTCTCTCTCTCTCTCTCTCTCTCTCTCTCTCTCTCTCTCTCTCTCTCTCTCTCTCTTTAAATACAGCGTTATGACTTCCAAGAACTAACCAGACCGTGTTATGCAAAAAAGAGGGACTTTTATCAATTGTTTCGTAATAACTTCAGATTTGCATTTAATTGCAAACTAGGTGATATTCTGATGCAATTAACGGTTGTAGATTACTCTGAGTTAGGGAGAAAGGTCATTTTGCTTGTTAATTTTGTAGAAGGTGTGTCTGTGTGTGTGCGTGTGTGTGTGTGCTGTGTGCGTAATGTGTGTGTTTTTGTGTGTGTGGTCTGTGTGTTTGTGTTGTGTGTGAGTGTGTTTGTTGCGTGTGCATGTGTGTGTTTTTGTGTGTTTTGTGTATTGTGTGTGCATGTTTGTGTTTGTGTTGTGTGTGTTTTGTGTGTGTGTTTGTTTGTTTGTTTTGTGTGTGTGTTCGTGTGTGTGTGTGTTTTTGTGTGTGTGTGTGTGTGCTTGTGTGTGTGTGTGTGTTGTGTGTGTGTAGTTGTGTGTGTGTGTGTGTGTGTGTGTGTGTGTGCTGTTTGTGTTTGTTTGTGTGTTTTGTGTTTGTTTGTTTGTTTGTGTGTGTGTTCGTGTGTGTGTGTTGTTGTTGTTGTGCTCATGGTGTGTGTTTGTGTGTGTGTGTGCGTGTGTGTGTGTACATGTGTGTTTGTGTGTGTGTGTGTGTGCTGTTGTGTGTCTGAGTGTGTGTGTATGTGTGTGTGTGTACTTATGTGTGTATGTATGTGCTTGTGTGTGTCTGCTACATTTGCTTGAATTTACATATGTTTCTCTGTGTTTGATTGCATGCATGTACGTGTGTGCTTATGCTTCTTCATCGCACATGTTTATGTTTATACACTTCCTTGGAAATATGCATATCTAAATCTATTCTCACACACCTGAAAATAAAATCCTCAATGTACACACACTCACAACCAAGCAACAATTTCTATTTTGCAATTCACGCACACAGTACTCGTAAATCAAACCTTACGTGTTTTTTTTTTCGTTTTTTTTTTTTTTTTTTTTTTTTTTTTTTTTTTTTTTTTTTTTTTTTTTTTTTTTTTTGCTTGTCGTGACTTCGTGTTCTGAATATGTGCAATAATAGCAGGAGGAAGGAAGGGGGAAGGAAGGGAGGAGGGAGGGGAGGAGGGAGGGAGGGAGGGAGGGAGGGAGCGGAGGGAGGGAGGAGGGAGGGAGGGAGGGAGGGAGAGAAGGAAGGAGGAAGGAAAGGAGGGGAGGGAGGGAGGGGGAAGGAAGGAAGGGAGGGAGGAATGAAGAAGGGAGGGAGGGAGGAGGGGAGGAGGGTGCCAAGTGTTGATAAAGAGAGGGAGGTCAGCGGAAGAATGAAGGTTTATTCACTGTAATGTCACTCTGGCAGCTAGAAAGACGGTGGTAATAGTGGTATTGACAGTAATGAATAAGACAGACAGACAGCAAGGCAGATAGGTAGACAGACAGACTGACTAGTAGACAGATAGAGAGCAAGGCAGATAGATAGACAAACAGATATACTGACTAACTCACAGACACAAAAACAGACACAAAGAGAAAAGAGAAACAGGCTAGAGAGAGAGAGGAAGAAAGAGAGATAGGCAGAGGAAAAGAGCGACACACAAACAAACGGTCAGAGAGACAGAAAGAGGGCAAGTAATAAACAAAGAGACTGACTGACAGAACGAAAAATAAATAAGACAACAGACAGGCTAAAAAAAAGTGCCAGATACACACATGTAAACAAAAAGAAACAGCGAGAGATAGAAAGGAGAGAAAGGGAAAAGGAGAAAGAGATAGCGAGAGAGAGACATAGACAGAGAGAGAGAGAGAGAGAGAGAGGAGAGAGAGAGAGAAGAGAGAAGAGAGAGAGAGAGAGAGAGAGAGAGAGAAGAGAGAGAGAGAGAGAGAGAGAGAGAGAGAGGAGAGAGAGAGAGAGAGAGAGAGAGAGAGAGAGAGAGAGAGAAGAGAGAGAGAGAGAGAGAGAGAGAGAGAGAGACGAGAGAAGAGAGAAGAGAGAGAGAGAGAGAGAGAGAGAGAGAGAGAGAAAGAAAAAAGAAAAAGAGAGGAGAGAAGAAAAAGAAAAGAGAGAGAGAGAGAAAAAAAAAGAAAGTACACGAAAAAAGAGCGAGAAAGAAAAAGAAAGAATAAAGAAAGAAAATAAAAAAAAGCGAGAGAGCGCGCGGGGCGAGGAAAAACTCTACGGGGAAGCATCCGCGTTTCAATAAGATATTCAAGTCAACCCCGGGAGCCACAAAGAATTGCGAGATTCTAAAACTCTCCGTTTCTCTGTGAAGACGCGACGGCCTTAGTAAGTTTGTTAACCCTAGTGCACGGGGAGGGGGTGGAGGGGGAGGGGTGGGGGTGGAGGGGGTTGAGGAGGTGGTTAGAGGGGTGGAGAGGGGGTGGAGGTGGGAGGGGAGGCATGGGAGGAGGAGAGAAGGAGGGAGGGAATAAGAATAGGAGAAGGGTAAGATGAGGGAGGAAGGGTGGGAAGGGAAAGGGGAAGAAGTAGATATTGGAAAAAGGAGGGGAGAGGAGGAGTGGGAGGGCATGGGAAAAGGTGAGAAGGAGGGAGAGAATAAGAATAGGAAAAGGGGTATAGACGGGGGAAGGGAAGGGGTGGAAAGGAAGGGGAAGAAGTAGATATGGAAAAAGAAGGGGAGGGGGGGAGTGGGAGGCATGGGAAAAGGAGAGAAGGAGGAGAGAATAAGAATAGGAAAAGGGGTAAAGACGGGGGAAGGAAGGGTGGAAAGGAAGGGGAGGAAGTAGATATGGAAAAGGGAGGGGAGGGGGTGATTTGGAGGGCCTGGGAAAAGGAGATAAGGAGGGAGAGAATAAGAATAGGAAAAGGGGTAAGGATGAGAGAGGGAAGGGTGGAAAGGAAGGGAAAGAAGTAAACATAGAAAAAGAAAGGGTAAAGTCGAGGGAGGGTGTAAAGGTGGATGGGAAGGGAGGGGAAATAGAAGGAAAGGAAAAGGGTAAATGCGGGGGAGGGAAGGATAAAAAGGAGGAGGATTAAATAAGAAAAGGGAAAGGGTAAAGGAAATAAGTAATAGGTAAAGACGGAGGAAAGAAGAGCAGACTAGAGGAAATAAATAAAGAAAAGAAAAGTGTTAAAGGGGGAAGATAGAAGGAGGGAGTAAAGAAAGAAAGGGAGAGAGGAAAGACAAAAGAAAGAAGAAAGAAGGGTGAAAAGAAAGGAGGAAATAAGTAAAGGAGAGAGGTAAAGAAGGGGATGGGAGAAATGGGAAAGAGAGAGTGAGTAAGAAAAGAAAAGTGATAAAGATGGAGGTGAAAAGTGGGCATAAATAAAGAGAGAAAAGGAGTAAAGATGGAAGAGGGAAGAGAGGAAAGGAGAGAGATAATAAGGAGAAGGAAGGGCTAAACAGGGGGAGGAGAGAAAGATGAAAAATAACGAAGAAAAGGGAAGAAATGAGGGAAAGAAGAGAGATGAAAATAACACTTCAAAAGAAGAAAAAAATAAGGGAATAAAAAATACAGAATTAGAAGTGACAAGAGAAAAAGGAATGAGAAAAGAGCTGATAATTCTGGAGAAAAGAAAGGATTCGACAGAACTCTCCTCTCTCCCCCCCTCCCCCTCCCACCTTCCCCTCCCAAAGCTTTTGTTAACCAATAAGATAGAAAGAGAGAGAGAATACGGATAACAAAGAGAGAGAGAATAACAAACAATACGGCCTAAAAAAAAAAAAAAAAAAACAACAAAAAGAATAAACTTCAAGGGAATCAACGCTATAGAAAGAGAAAAAAAAGAAAATAGCCAAAAAGAAAGTAAAAAAAAAGGAGGGAACCAACGCTACAGAAAAAAGAAAAAAAAAACAGAATAATAGCAAAAAAAAAAAAAAAAAAAAAAAAAAAAAAAAAAAAAAAAACTTTCTCTCTCTCCATACTCTTTCACTTCCTGTTTAACATTTTTGATTACCGAGTCAAATTGGAAGAACAGGTCGTAATGAAGCTTCAGAAGCCCAAAAAGACGCGAAGCCTTTCTTCAACACCGTCTTGAGAGAGACCTTCTTAGCGCACAAAGAAGAAACGTCTTTTAAGGTAATAATCCCGTCACTGGTTCTCTAGTCTACCTCCTCCCCCCTCCTCCTTCTGCCCCTCCTCCTCCTTCTTATCTTATCCTTCCTTCTTACTTTCTTACTCAGTCTACTCCTCCCCCCT